AAATAACTGGGCGCTTGTTATCCGACTCCACCGGGTCTAAGCACGGGTTCTACCCGGGCAGCTTCCGATTAAGAGGAAAGGCGGGTAATGTTTTTTTCCATACAAACGTTCTCGACTGATTCCTCCTTGAATTTTAGCACTAAAGACATGATTTTCATACATAAAATAGTCTATACTCCTATGTGTTCCTTTTTTCGATAACTTCTGTTTTAAATAAAAAAGAAACCTTCAAAAACGGCAAAAAAAAATTCACCACTACAGACATCTAGTGTGGAGATTCAATGAGCATTAAAAAAAACAAAATATAGCGGCCTAGTATAACTACTTATTATTCTATGGGTATAAATCATCGAGGGCCAAACCTCGAATTTTGAAATTTTTATATGTAGCTAGCTGTCCCAACGAACTTCGTACCTCCATAAAAAATAGGGGTTGGTGGCAGAAGGTTGAAAATTTAGGTTTGTATGTATTTTTGTATGATGTATCATAAATAAATAAAATCAAATTAAGTTGTCCAGAAAAAAATACCACCCTTAACATTTAGAGGGATGAAAAATAGATGTTGTCCGATTCTCAGACCTACTGAATATGCATTAAAATTTCACGAAAATCGGTGGAGCCGTTTCGGACTAGTTCAATTACGCACACCGTGACACGAGAATTTTATATATTAGATTTTCAGCGTTAGCTACTGTTGTCCAATATCGCACGGTATTTGCCAATGTGCGGCAGCTATAGTTTTTTCAAATAACTATTTCTCAAAGGTCTCTCAGCTCGCGTCCGCTCTTAGGCTTGTTCACAAGCACGGTTTGTACGGACCCCAAACCGTCACTAGCGCCGGTTTTGTTAACAAATCGCCATGGTGTCTCATACCTAACTGACGACCCGGCGTAGACAAAAATGGTGTAATACTGTGCCTAGACCCAGGTAGAAATCGTCTCGTTAACAAGTGCCATAGTGTTAGGTCAATTTTTCTTCCCTAGATGACGTTGTACCATTCTGAACCGCCATAACATTTAGTTGCGAGATATTTCAAATCAGTGATTTGTACCAAATTTTACCTATCGTATGTCTATGTGTGGACGGCTTTCGTATTTAGTTTTTTTTCTTTTTTTTTAATCCCCGTTTTGTGACTTGTCTTTATGTTCTTTTTTGTTTTTCATTCTATTCTTTCTTTCTTTATTTTTATATTATTTCTGCCTCTCTTTTGGGTGCTTGTTTCTTTTTTTCGTATTAAGTGTAGACTCCCCTCTAATACTGCATACTATTCCAACTACTAAATAATCCTAGTACCGTAATTACTTTACTACTTTTAAATAAGGAAAGACAGTAATAAAAGCCTAAATCGCCAGTCAGTGCTTTGCCGACAATGAAAGTTGCTGCATGTAGAATATAAACCCTATCTACACGGGTTTGAAATTTTTTATGTTAACAGGATTATAAAAAACAATAACAATCACCTACCCCGTGGAACCCCAGAACCTTACTCACCAACAGAAACACAACATCACCAAAGGGTAGTGTTATTTTACTGTGGTATTCTGTAAGCTCTCCACATCCATTAAAAAATTAAGTGTATTGTAAAAATCATTGATTAATGTAGGTACATGTTTATACACTCAAGTGAATTTTGTGAGTTTTAACACAATTTCCTTTGCTCCCCATAAAAATACAATAGCTACCAGCCAGATGATCAAAGGAGCCATAGTCACATCTTAATGACCTCGGGTTTCATATTGGTTTAAATTAAATTTTTCTAAGCAACAGTGATCACTATAGACTTTTAACTATAAAGATACCAAGTGAAGTTATCAGTGAATACCTACAGTTATATAAATATTTTTTTTGTTATTTTTAACTACATTTTTAACTCCATTATATTGACTACGATTCACTCGATTCGCATACAAATCTAAAGAATAGGTACAGCCTATTATTGTAGGCAAAGGATATTGTAATAGTGAGGATAATGAGCTCGGAGGTCAATTTTATAATGCAAGGCCATTTTATTGTATGGGTACGTGAATGGGATGCAGGATAACATAGAGTTTTGTTCCTTAGTTTAAGTTTTTCATAAAAGCAAAAAAAAAAACAAAACAGACTTCGAAATCGAAAATGGAACTAAAAAGTAAAAAATAATATCTGGTTCATGATTTAGAAGCCGGGAAGGGCCAAGTTTGAAGACTTATTATTACCTACTTACCGACCAGCAGTGCCGTTTTTGACCTATTGGAGGCCCTGGGCATATGCCCATTATATTAGAATAATGGGGCCCCTATGACTTCCGGTGTTGACAGCCTTGTGTAACCTTCAACGGCCAAGTCACACAACATATAATATAGTATAGTAACTATAATAATAAAGAAATCGCAGTAAGGAACCTTAGACTTGGCACGACTTTGTTTAGATTTAATTACTTTTTAGAGATAAACAAGCAACTCCATGGAGACTTGGCTAGTTTTTTACAGAATGTTTTTGGTGGGATTTCACTTCTTTTTGTATAAACGTGAGCGTATTGATTTATTTTATTAGATATTCTTATTTGACACATTTTTTTTCTTTTTAGGAGTAGTCTTTTTTTTTATTACAAATCTTTCTTTTCTTTTTTTTCCGGTTCTGATTCTTGAACATTAGCAACAATTTTTCGTATTACCCATTCGCGTTCTTTATAAATTTATTCTTTTAGACGGTTTAATTTCTGAAAAATCGGCGCGATATTTACGCCTAAGCCGGTTGTATTCGGTGATAGCTGAAGCTTGAGCTTTTATACTCTTGAAGTCAACATTTATGAGGTACACCCCATGAAGATTGGTTACTCTTGAAAGCGCCACCACGTAGGCTTGGCCACAAGAGAATATGGAGGTGCCAATGTCCATGAGGGTATTTTTTAGACTAAGACCTTGGTATCACCGCCACTCTTAGTCCAATGCATTATATTTTGACCAAATTTTGAGCGAAATTAATATTTTAGTGTAGTTTGTTTATTTAATTTGTGTAATGTTCGAGTAGAATAAAGTTAATCGTTCGAATATTTTTTTTTGTAAACTCGTAAATATAAGTATAATAGCCAGTCTAGTCTTATCCAGAGTTTTCCTTTAATTTTATTTATATGCGCATTAAAAGTAGAGGGGGAGGCATTCGCCCAGCAGTGGGACGCTATAGGCTAGATTAAATTAAAAGATGTGTACCACTACGCTGGATTTTTGCAATAACAGTCGATTTTTTTGTGTACCAATAGTAGAAGGGGGCATTACCATATCTCTAATACAGCTGAGACCAGCTGAGGGTTCTTCATTAGATATTTCAGACCTTCTATTTTTGACATCGAATGAAGCGGCCCACCAACTTGAATATTTTTGTAAAGGCGGTATGTCGATCTCTTTTAATAGTTTGGTTGGGCTCTTGTGTTTTCTAATCAGGGTCACCAGGTACTCCAGATCATCGATTATCCTAGTTTTAATAGTTTTCCCTTTATGTGGCCATTAAACCCTAACTCTGTACCAAATTTCAGCTCTCTGAGTTTATGGTACCTAAGTACTAGTTCTATTTTGATGATCATGAGTGAGTGAGTGTTGTAAATGTGACACTTTGCTTTCGCTTAACTTCGGAACTAAATGACCTACAGACTTGAAATTGGATTTTAAGTTTGTTATTATAGCTTACTGGATGACGCAAATTTCAGCGTTCTGGTCTTATCCAGAGGTTCTCAAATGGGGGCCTGAAAATGCGGCGAAATGGTTCTAGTAAAGGATGGTACGGCAGTGTTTGCTTCGCGCTCGACTTGGTGGGGGCACTACCGTACCCCCAGATGTTTTTGGGACCACATGGCAACTATTTTGCATCGAAAAAAAAACACGCAAATCAGGCATATCTCGGAATCATCGGTGTATATACATACCAACCGCATTGAGAATCTCCTCGTTTTTGAAGTCGGTTAAAAGTCAGTATTTGGCATAGAAGGCATTTCATATAGGTAACTTAATTGTTTGTTATTGCAACCAAGTTAACTTTATTTAAAGTTATTTCATGGTGACCCAATAATTGAGCTAGTTACCTAATACTATCTATGAGGGTTTAGTGAGACACACATTTCTCAAAAAAGAATTCTACTTTTGTTTCTAATAAAGAAAGCAAAGTGACTTGTCAGCTTTCGTATGATTCCTTACAAAAAGCTTCCCGTAAGAAGTTGAGACGTTGTTGCGTCCAATTTAAAATCTAAAATCTAAAATCCATTAATATTTTCAATTGAGAACAGGCATCACCTAATTTAATGTCGACACTATTATTTTTATTAATGTTATGGTATATTCAACAACATGGAAATGATTTAGTAAAACAGTAATGCCTTAAGCTTTAACAATAAAATTCTCTTGTATTGCCTTTGAATATTCCTCCAGTGTTTTAACTTTGATTATTGTCGGCCATAAAAAATTTAATCTATGTTTACGTCTTGTTAAGTCAGTGACCATTTCAAAATCATTTGTGTTAACTCGGTTACCATAAACTCGATGTATGCAAAATTGATTCGTTCATATGTCTCGCTTTATTCAATTTTTTACGGTGCAAAGAACGAATTTTTACACATGAAGCATAACGAAAAGATGTATATTTATTGCGTCAAGTCTGAAAATATTTCTTTATTTTAAGAGTTTCTTACTAGATAGATGAAATTTGAACCCTATAGTTGTTATTTTAAGCCTACTGAGCCACGTCTGCCAATATATCCGTCTATTAGCGGGCTTTATCTCCTGGACTTAAATGAATGAGAAGCCAATTAAAATAATTGTCACAAAATATTGGTTCATTAGAATATTACAACCCTTCACTTTGCAGCCATTAATTACTTTTCATTATTAATTTTATTGACGCCACCAATAAATTCTAAGCTTTATGAGAACAATAATCAAAGTTCACTTGAAGCTCAGTCAAACGACATTATGGCGTGGATGTGTAGATAAGTATGTATGAAGTAAAAATTAAAACAGCCATAATGGACTAACCTGTTTTGAAACCACACTTGGACCACTCTCATGTCCAGGCCGGTATCGTGAGCTAGTTGCTCTCGTACATGTCTAGCCGGTTTCGGACTACTGCTGTAAGCGCTCTTGAGGGTCTCCAGCTGCTTCGCCGTGATGGTGGTGCGCGGCCGCTTGCTGGCCGCGTCACCGTCGAGCGACCCCTCGCCGCCTGGTGTGGAATCCAGTTCTGTGTTAGACCTCTTCACTCTTATAATCGTAAAAAATTGTATGTATCTACGTTAGGCTTTAGTTGTTTTTTTTATTACGATTTTTTTATCTATGGCAGGTATTTAGTATAGAAGTTATTTTAACTACAAGTAAGTTTCAGTGGTTAGTCAAATTAAACCTGTTGTTTTTCACATTACACAAAATAAGAGACCACATCACTTCGAACTTTCGTTTCCATCTCTAAATATACAGTACCCGGGTTCAACTCCAGTCTATGTAGAAATAAATATGTTAGGTTTCCTTTTTGTCTTTCAGTAGCGTCGCCATTTCCGATTTCTATAACACCAATGATTTCCGATAAAGTTTTGCGCTATCCATTTATAACAAACAGAAATAAAGCTCATTTAAGATCAAAATAAATAATTTACAGCCCACCTTTTGCTCTCGCAGCTTCATAATCGGGTTTGCAAACGAGTTTTCCATCTTCCATGAGGTAGAACTCGTCCCCGGTATTGAGAGTCCTCGCGCAAGCAGCGCAAGCGAAGCAGCGCAGGTGGTAGACGTGAGACTGGGCGCGGCGCACCACCTGCGTCGGCGGGATGCCCTGCCCGCAGCCCGCGCACTTAGTCCCAAACCGCCTGGGACAACAGCCGCAACAACAACAACATTATCAACGTGTTTTGTCTAGCTTGGTGTCAGGTGAATCAGTGCAGGTGACAGACGTGAGACTGGGCGCGGCGCACAACCTGCGTCGGCGGGATACCTTGTCAGCAGCCTGCACACTTGCTCCCAAACCGCCTGGGACAACAGCCGCAACAACAGTAACATTATCAACGTGTTTTGCATAGCTTGGTGTCAGGTAAAGCAGCGCAGGTGGTAGGCGTGAGACTGAGAACTGCGCACCAAATACGTTGGCGGGATATGGGCACAAGATCATGGCAATTGCAATTACTATAATATTCCTCTAATATCTACAGCATTCACAATTTCTTGAAAATAATCAGTTTGCAATTATGTATTGCTGTCTGTAACTATGATATTTTATGTATGAAAACATTTGTAAAAGCTTACTTGAAAAAGTCAAGTGCAGTACAGCTGGTTGTTTCTCGCGGAGCATTTCCCGGAGAGCATGGCGCGGCAGTCGACGCAGTGCAGGCAGCAGGCGTGCCACGTGCGATCGGACAACTCCAACATTTAACACGTGTAGCTGCGATATCTATGGAAACATTTGTAAAAGCTTACTTGAAAAAGTCATCGTTGCAATACAGCTGGTTGTTTCTCGCGAAGCATTAGCCCGAGAGCATGGCGCGGTATTCGATGCAGCGCAGGCAGTCCGCTTACTACGTGCAAAACAACACTTAACGCATGTAGCTACGATGTGTATGGAAACATTTGTAAAATCTTACTTGAAAATATTTTCGGTGCAGTAGAGCTGGTTGTTTCACGCGAAACATTTCCCGGAGAGCATGGCGCGGCAATCGACGCAGTGCATGCAGCCGGCGTGCCACATGCGATCGGACAACTCCAACATTTAACACGTATAGCTACGATATCTATGGAAACATTTGTAAAAGCTTACTTGAAAAAGTCATCGGTGCAGTATAGCTGGTTGTTTCTCGCGAAGCATTTCCCCGAGAGCATGGCGCGGCATTCGACGCAGCGCAGGCAGCCGGCGTGCCACGTGCGGTCGGACACCTTCAGCACGTACCGGTCCACTATCATCTCGTGACAGCCCCCGCACTTCGGGATACTGGCTGGAAACATATCCGTCTATGTGTTATTCTTGGCTTTTTAGTACAGAGTACTTTACCGTCACGGTATTGGGGTACAGACTTGATATTGTAGTGGGAACAGAAAATTTATTTTTATTTTTAAATGGAACTCTTCTTACTAAGATCTCTTTGTTGTCTACGTTGACTATCTTCTACCTTCGCCATTATGAATGAATAATGTCATCTTTGAATTAACGACACTGTTTGAAATAAAGCAACTTGCTGAGTTAATTTCCGGTTCATTTCAGTAAAAAAGTCTCCCGCCGTATATTTGAGAACCGATGGGATAATTTTTCGACATTATTGTAATATGCTAGTAAAACCCTAAACTTAATAAATGAAATTAATTTTAAGAGTTTTACATACCTATCCCCTACGTCGGGAATCTGTAAAGCCTAACTCACCAAAAAAACATGACACTCGCGAAAAGGTAATTTTTATTGTAGTTTTCTTTAAGGAGTTTATTTATGCAATTATAAATACGATATACCGTCTTTTACGACGAAATTTTCGAATTACTTTCGTGGCGATATATAGTTAAGTATTTATTGTATTATATTATCTATCCGATTTTATCTTGAAAATACTTAGTTCCACAACGATACTTACACAGAGATAATCGTCGTACGAATTACTTGAAGCGTCTTTAATTATGGCGGGTATAATGTTTGAACCATCCAGTGTTTTTGGATGGTGCAAAGAATACTTAATTTATTTTATAGACTTTATCAAAAAAATGACAGGTGTTCCAAAAAGACAAACAAACTTTAGCGAAGACGATTAATCAATTTTACGATGGCACTTTCGTTAATGTATAATCGGCTTTAAAGACGACGAATTACGATTTTAATTTTATATCTTGCATTTTTATCTAGCATAAAATCAACCGGTTATCTCAATTAATTATCCATAATCATGTTTGTATCTTTATCAATTACAAACATCAAAAAGTGGAAATCCCAACTCATGTCGTCTTCAGTTAAAATTATTATCTAACGCTACTAGATTATGAATATTTATTTTGAACCATATCATCGATATAATCAAAGAAATCTAAATCTGTATCTATGCTTATAAACCTAATAGCCGAATATTTTATAAATATGTTGTTTATATATTTATATGTTTCTTAATCGGTTTCTCAAAAACGGCAAAACAGATTTGAATGAAATTGGGGACACCAAAAGATTCATTAACTATATAGAGATACAAAATGTTTAGCTCCTGTAGAATTACCTAAAATGGATTATGGACCATTTTATTTTATGAGTAGATTTGCTGCATACGTAGGTACGTATGCCTTGAAGATTTATTTGCTTTTTTATTCTTAGATACCACGCGTTTGGATCTACGTTCAAAGGTTAGTTATAAAAGTTATTATTTATTTATGTAGGAGGTGATGTGGATACTGTGTTTTCGGACCTTTTTTTAATCAAAAACAAATTTGAAGCCATTGGTTTGGAGCTTAATTTTAGCAAATGCGAACTTTTTATAAATAACTGTGACTTAAATTTAAATGATGTTAAACAAAAATTTAATATTTTGGCTCCAAATATTAAAATAGTTAACAGAAATTCCCTTTACCTTTTAGGTTCTCCAATTTTTGATGAATCTATTTCTGAATATTTTAATAATTCAATTAATAAATTCCAAAATTCCGCTGACCGTCTCCTTGAAATTAGTCCACATTATGCACTTTGCATCTTAAAATTCTGTCTTTTTGTCCCAAAATTAACGTATGTCCTCCGTTGCTGCTCCTTTTGGAATCATCCAGATCTTTTGGCACAAGTAGACGGCTTAATCAAAAATAACTTAGAATCAATTCTTAATATGCAGCTTAACGAGCAATCTTGGACCCAAGCATCCCAACCCATCCGTTATGGTGGTTTAGGGATTCGCAAAATTTCCAGTGTCGCTTTACCAGCCTTCCTATCTTCTGTCCATAGTTCAGCAAATCTCATAAGTAAAATTTTAAGGGCATCCCCTTCAAACTTTGAGATTGCTGGCTTGGAAGAAGCTAGAAACGCTTTCTTAATTGCATGCCCAGGTCAAAATTTTCCAGTTTCTCCAAATTCACAGAGGAGCTGGGATGACATAAACTGTAAATTGACGTATGATAACCTTTTGAGCTGTAGTACAGGTTCGGCGCGTGCTAGGCTTTTGGCCGTGGGTGCGCACGAGGCCGGCTACTGGCTTCACGCGTACCCCTCGGCAAATACAGGAACATTTCTTGAGCCTGACACGCTCCGAATCGCAACCTGTCTACGGCTTGGGGTCCCGGTCTGCGCTCCTCATAAATGTCCCTGTGGCAGTGATGTCGACAAGCTAGGACATCACGGACTGTCTTGCCAAAAAAGTGCAGGCCGCTTCTCGAGACACGCCGCACTTAACGATATCATACGCCGGTCCCTTGCCACCGTCAACGTGCCAAGTCTACTTGAGCCAACTGGTATTGCAAGAGACGATGGCAAGAGACCGGACGGTATGAGTTTGATTCCATGGAAGATGGGTCGGGTGCTAGTATGGGATGCAACCTGTTCAGACACGCTGGCCCCTTCCCATCTACATGGAACCAACAACAGAGCTGGTGCGGCTTGTGAAGCTGCTGAAAAAGCTAAGGCAGGCAAATACAGGGGTCTAGGCTCCGAATATGATTTTGTCCCATTCGGTGTCGAGACCCTTGGTCCGTGGGGTCCTAGCGCTTTAAGGCTATTTAAGGAAATAGCAAAAAGGTTAGTCGACGTCACAGGAGACCGAAGAGCTGGCAGCTACCTCGGACAAAGAATTAGTCTAGCCATTCAAAGAGGTAACGCTGCCAGTATCTTCGGTTCCTTGCCTAAAGGGACTCCTTTTAATAATATATTTTAGTTATTAATTTTTATGTTTTTAAGGTTTTTAATTTTAGTTTTAGTTTTATTATTCTAGTATTTATATTTTACTTATATATAGTAATTATGTAATTAGATAGAGACTTATTTGTTTATAGTTAGTGTATTTTATAGTTTTATCTCTGCAATGTTTATAATATTTGGATAAATGACAATTTTATGTAGGTAAGTAGGTTAAGCTATACAGTTTTTAAGTTTGTGTTATTATAATATATTGCAATATAAAAAAAAATCCTGATAAAAAAAATACTTATAAAGCATGATTGGGTTTGGGAATAAATTATTTGATTAATGAATTGGAAAATATCAAAGGATATATACATATAGTGGATTCATATCATGGGTGTAGATAAAGTCTTGTATGTAACTGTTTATAATTAGCTATAAAAACACGAATGTGGGTATATCACACGAGGTGAAACCAAGCCCTCATTATGCAACAGTTGCATAAATAACTGTTTAACCATTGCTTGCATAGTGTAATATTATGTAACCGATACTTTTAGTACCTACTAAAAGTATGAGAATTAAAATCATTATATTGATCATCTTCGAGTACATACATATATCATTTATTTTCTTTTCTCGTTCTTGATTTTATATTTTTATAAAGACAAGTTTTATTTAAGAAATGACAACTGGAGCTACTTTTGACTCTAATAGAAGGTAAGGATAATCTTATTTTGTTTCTCAGCAATATGTTGTTATTAACCAAATAAAAATATTTAGATAACAAAGCTCACTAACTGAATGATAAGATAATATAATAGGTCAAAAACCTAACCCATTTCCGGATGACCTAGAAATAGAAATTTTGGCGTCCAGCTGGGGTAATTGTGTAGAAGTATAATAAAGTAACGGCCCATCCCAGCTTCACACGGATGTATTAAATACTATGGAAACATAATGAATCAGCATCCGAAAAAAGAACATGAATAAATTAATACAGATTTTGAAAGTAGCCGGACTGAGTTTCTTATGTAATTCTTTGCCATTGCCTTTTGGAAGCCTCGCGGTTACGTCACAACATACAGACAGATTTTAGGGTTGTAAGTCCTGACAAGGAACCCTTATAGTTTCGTCATGTCCGTCTGTCAGTCCCCGGTTTTGCTGGGAAACTATTAGCACTACAGAGCTATAATTTTGTGGAGATATCTATATCGATCACACCAACAAAATGGTGAAATAAAATTTTGAAATATATTTTATTTTAGGGTAGCTCCCCCACATGTAAACTGGGGATGATTTTATCTCATCATCTACCCCATCGTGTGGGATAACGTTGAATTGGTCCTTTAAAATTACGTAGGAGTTTCTAAGACTATTTTTCGATTAAGGAATCCGAAATATTGAACTTTAAATTGCTAATTTTTCTTCGAGTAGAGCGTCTCCCCCTCTAAAAGCTAAACTATTAGCTTGAACGAAAATTCTTACCTATTGAAAATTCCTTAGAAGAAAACATTAATTAATTACTGTAGGGTATCCTATATCATATATCATGAGGATTTCACACCCGCTCCCCCGCCTCGGAAAACAAAATAAATCGGCGGTTATCATTCGTATTTAAAAGAAATTATATAAAGAATTGATTTTAAGTTTGAGACACTAGTTTTAGATACTTTAGTTGAGACATATAGATTAAAATTAATTGTTTTTTGTAATTTCCGTCACAGAAAATAAAGACTCTTGCTCAAATATATTGTGGTAACTACAGGCAACTACGGAACTCTACACTGCGCGTGGCACGACATGCACTTGGCCAGTTTTCTTTGACTAATCACAGCAGACTTTTTGAGTTTTTGACTATTTGACTGATCACAACTGACTGACTGAGGTTTTTACTCTTTGACGGATCACCACTGATTGACAGAGGTTTTGATTCTTTGTCGGATATCCTTTTCTCTTTTTATATACTCGTAATAGTGTAGAGTATAGATAGTATAGAAGAAGACATGCTCCTCTAGCATGACCACCGAAACGGGATATATCGGCATTAACTGTCAGACCACTGTCAAACTCCACTGTAGTCTGACAATTAATGCCGATATATAAAGTGATATATCAGTACATACTGTCAAACTCTACTGTTGTCTGATAGTTAATGCCTGCATTTTTATTTTATATAGTGTAGGTGTGCAAAATTTTTAACAATCTTATGCACTTTTGGATGATCTGCAATACAAACTTTAACATGAAATTTTGTAATTTTTTGAGGATAGTTGTGAAAAAAATATGTAACAGGCTAAGTGTACATCTATTATATAATGTTTATGCAAAATTTGAAGTCAACAGGTCCAAGGGATAAGATTTTACGAAGAAAAGTTTTTTTGCATATTTTACGCTTATGACTTACTCAACCTTCAACATGTAATAACTTGTCTAGGTAATAATAGAAACCGGAACCTACTGTCCAAATTTCATCATTTTAGATCCAGCCGTTTGGGCTGTGCGTTGATAAGTCAGTCAGTCAGTCTGTCAATGTATCCTTTTCTCTCTTTATATAATACACATAGTATAGATGAATGGTCAGAATATAAGACAACCCAATCGATTTTCTTAAAAAACACAATTTTTAGGGTAATACTTCTTTTTTTTTAATTACTTACTTACTTAAAAAAAAATATGTATGAAAACTATGATATATATATAATTCTTCAGCAGTGTTCCCGTATGATCTGATGACGGGGTTCCAATGAAGCGACAGGAATTCTTCAAATATTATGGCACTCCTATAAAGATTTGGATATTTTTGGGGTAGCATTAAGGCACTATTTGGTGTAATAGGGCCGATAATTAAGACCACTTATGACCACCGGAACTACACAGTAGTATAATAGGGATGATGACTAACTTTTTTCTTCTTCGTTTATCAAATAGATTATCAAAAAGTATTGGACACGTATTTTTTCTTTTTCACATAATATAAACATCGCAGAGTAATGTTGATTTGAAAAGTCGCATGACGTCACGTTTTGGTACAATTTTCACTTAAAAGTGACGTCACGAGCCCCTACTCCCAAACTTTGACGCGCTATAACTTTTTCATTTTTTGGTTGATTGCCCAAAGAAAACATACGTGTCAATTATTTTTTGATCATCTAACTGACGGACTAAATAGAATTTCGTTTACTTTACCCCGTCATCACCCCTATTCATGGGCTACTACTATTTATTTATAAATCTATAGAAAATATTACTAGAAAAAGGCCATGCGTTCCAGGCATCAGATCGGATGGATGCCTGGACCACGTGTTTTTTATTTATTTAGCAGATTAATGCTTAAAAAATAAAAATTTTATAACTTATTATTAGTTTATTTTTAAATGGTTGCTAAGATGAGTCATAATTCGTAATTGAGTAACAAATAGTATTATAATGTTTTAAGCCTTGTTGGTGGGGCCCTACGAATTCAAAGTATTTTACGGTGCCTTTTAAAAAAATAATTAAAGCCAAATTCTTGTATATAAAAGCATGAACTGTCGATGATTCCTATTTCGACTTAGTCAACATTACCTACTCAACACTTATCAAGTGTCACTAATGTAGATTGGAATCCCTACGCTGCGCCTAGCATACTCACCATTGAATTCTTTTATTTTAAGAATGCCTTAAAAATGTGCTCTAATAGCGACAATAAGTGCCCAAAAGTAATAAATAGTGCTCTTATATTTAAAAAAACTATAGGAATTGTTTATGGGTCTCAGTATGCCAGACGAAGGTTGTGCCTAGCATACTCATCTCAATTTGGAATATTTCCCTATTCCATCGATAGGGAAGGCCTGTGCCGCGGCAGTAGGAACGATAATAGGCTGGTGATGATGATGATTGTCTTAAAATAAAAACAGGTGTATTCATATTTTCAGAATTATACACTTTGTTTAGCAAGTATGCCATACTTACAGAATTGCGGGAAAATAGAACAAGCTTGATTAAATATCTGATAGTCCCAGTGCAGTATCTTCAGCCATTAGTAGGAACTTGACGGACTGAGTGCCCGAGATGTTTATTTTTAATTTTAGATCCTTTATTTTTGTAATGACCCTTCTTTTGGGCAAAATAACATATAAGTTAGGGTACATTAGGTAAAATTTTAACACATACTGTTTGATATAGACATGGTGTGGTGTTTACCTATAATTAATTGTAACATTGATATAAGTGTCTATAATTGTAATTGCTTAAGTGTTACAATTGTTGGTAAGCCTTATATAAATAAAAAAAAATCTACAAGCCCAAGCTATATCTCCATATAAGTGCACTCAATGAGTGCAATTATTGATTGAATTTTGGCATGGGAAAACTATACATATATTTTGACATTTGGTACAGTCAAATCCATATAACTTTGTTACTACTTTTTGTTGTATATCAATATAACACAGAACTTAAATATTATTCATATAATATCATCGTTATTTAAATTTTATTGTATAAAGTTTAAAAATGTTTTTTTTTATTATTGTTAGTATATACTATACTTACAGTTAAACATATAACTTTAATAGGATTGCAACCCTTAGTAAAATTTGGCTAAAACTGTAATTATTTAACTGTAGATCAGCTGGAAGTTTTCGTTGGATAATACCTTGGAAGAAAAATGTGTAATTTACCTTATGTGCATTTCTATAATATAAAATTAATGTGATGGAAGTTGACATCAACACATGTTTCATGAAACAAAACAGGGAGAAAAAAATAGCCCTTGCTGAGTTTCTTGCCGGTTCTTCTCAGAACCAGGTCTCCCACCATAGATTTACGAACCGATGGCGTAGCGTTTGACTTTCACAAGAGCTTGTAATAGCCTAGACTGAATAAATGAGTTTGAGTTGAGTGAGTGAGTTTGAGTATGTATCTTTTGTATGTAGAAATTGCTTAAAAAATTAAGTTACTTTCTAGGGTACTAAATCAATCAGTTATAATTGTGCTCATTCAGGGTACTATATCCGGCACTATTTATTGACATGTAATTTGGTTGCTTCCATCGCTTGTTCTGTTTTCGCGAAATGTGGTCAGAATATTGAATGTTTTCGGTGAAGAACCTTCGACCGGTATACTCAAAGAAGAAAATCTTATCTTTACGTAAATATTAATGCACAGGTATATATTTTAAGACAACATTTTTAAATATGAATGACCGCTGTAGCTTACACAGAATTTCCAAATAGAGGTGATTATAAGTGAAGGTTACGCTTACCATACTCACTAAACTATGTATGTAGTTTTTTGATGTGTAACATCTTTCCTCTCGCTTTCCTGCAATTTTTGGAAGTGATTTCCTGAAACGGGACGGATGTGTGTAATAGGAAGTCGCGAAAGCGCGCGCTATTTCATTTGATTTTAGAACATTATGTTCAAATGGCTTATTCCTTTTGTAGTAGGTTTTATTTCTTTTTTTACTAAATATAAGGTGAAGTTTCAAATGTTACACATCATACGCGACTACTGTAAGGCTCGCTCGTTTTTTTTAGTATAAGAACACTGTTTATTTCCTTTAGGCACTATGTATATATGAACACAAAATTTCTGGCATTCTTGAAATGCCGGAACTCCGTGGTGATATTCACCATAGGGACAGCACTAAATACCTCTTTTCTTGTATTCCACAGGAAAAATATCCCAAGAAAAAAGTAATCACGTCATTATTAACGAAGCACAGATATAGTAGATGTCACATTATTCCTATTTTTCTAGGTTATATATTCACTAACAGAAAGCACACACTATAAACCACTCGTAACACAGGCTACATACATAGGAACACTTCTGGTAGATGTTCCAACTGGATGGGGGGTACACGCATGTCTTCCAGCTCTGCGTCCTCCGCGCCCGGGTACATCATGGTGCCGAGCATCGTTGCGACCGCCCCGAGCCGCACCGGACAGCACACTGATGCGAGCTAAAACCCCAACCCCAACCCCTTATCGTAAGCCCGCTCTGATTGGTCCGCCCCGAGCCTGATAACGACCACCACGCCCATCGGCCAATCCTCGCGAGCGCCACCCATTGATCGATCGCCCGCGAATTTCCCCATTTCCATGCGCATTTAACTGCGCTGCGCCTCTGCTATGACGCTTTTTGTCCGACTGCCTTTTTTTTCATTTAGCCTACGGTTAGAGACATTTTCAGGTTTCTTTTCTATTTAAAGTTGTGCAAAATCTTTTGAAGGGTACGTTTTTCGCGATTAAGCTGCGTTGTTGACATAAATCAATTTGCTTAGAAATTATTTACTTTCTATACGATTTAAATCTTTCGTTTTTATAGTTGCTTTTGTTTCGTAAGAAAAGATACAAATACAAAGAAGAAATGTTTGTATCTTAGATAATATAAAGTATTAAGCACTTATGTAAAACATTTATTGGTCTTTCTCAATATAGCACAATAGGTAAATATATAATGTGACAATGCACAGGAAATTAAGAAAGAAAACAGTATTCAAGGTCAGTGAAGTAATTTTTCAGTATAATGCAGCTGGTATTTATTGTTTGACAACAAATGGCCGACTTAATGCCACAAGGCATTCTCTACCACTCAACCATCGGGATAAGCAGAGATATTACGCGGTAAAGTATAAAGTATAATATATTCCCAAAAAAAAATGGAAAATCCAAAAGTGCACGCCTCACATTCATGAAACAGAAACCCAGTAAATAATTTCCATTGAATTTCATTAATATGTTTAAAACGGTTATCAATTCAATCATGATGAGAAATAGGGTTCAACCTCAGTATAAGTGAAAATTAATTCAAAAGTATTTATTACAATTCATTGCGTATATTTTTCTCAAACGTGCAAACAAACAAGTGCACAGACCAACGGACAGCAGTACTAATAATTTTTTAACTACATTTTTTTGTTATGTAAACTAAAAAAATAAATGAAAAAATACGCTGACTTGTATGTCTAGTTTTCAAAACACCCCTTTTATATTGATGTAGTGTCTAACTTGGGAGATAAGAGCGATTTTATATTGTAAAATCGTCACATATCGGCCTATCGAGAGTAAAGCACTATGTCTAGTTTTCAAAACACCCCTTTTATATTGATGTAGTGTCTAACTTGGGAGATGAGAGCGATTTTATATTGTAAAATCGTCACATATCGGCCTATCGAGAGTAAAGCACTCCCACACGCTTACGCGTTGTGAGGCGTGCAATTTGAATAAATAAAAGTAATATTATATTTTTAATATAATTTTGTAATTGCACTTACGATTAAAAACAAATACACAAAACATTAAGAAATTTAATAACACTACCAGCCGCACTTAATCATTTAACTTGTCAACGAAATTTTTAGTTAAAGTTAATGTTCTAAGGCTATTTGTCATGGCAATCAATAAATCTTCATGTCATTACTATATGCGATCGTTAGCTACAATAGGTACAGGTAAAATTAACAATATTTGGAGTCGGGGTAAACTAAGGTATGTATTGCATATGTATTATGTTATATTTATTCAGGAGCACACACTGTCTGCCTTTTTCTATGTTCTTTCTTTTCGCGGGTCTGCTGGAAGAAATTACATTATGAAATAAGCAGTGCCCTTGTTTCTCTTTTTTCTAATATTTTATTGTGTGTGTACAAAATAAATAAATAAATAACGGTCCAATGCTAGTCGAACTTGTACCTACACAATAGTCCGTATCCATACTTATCTTCTAAGCTTATCTATTAGGCATTAAAAATACAGATTTACTCCTTTGTTGTTATAGCGGAATTAAATAAATAAATATTTCCAAAACGCACACCAATTAGCCTAGCCCCAAAGTAAGCACCGTAAGGCTTGTGTTATGGGATACTAGGGGAACGGATAGAATACATATACTGTGCATAAATAAGTATATTTATCTAGAAATACATATTAAACATCCATGACTGGAGTACAAATGCTCGTTTTCATCATACAAAGATCTGCCCCCACCGGGATTCAAACCCGGGACCTCTCGAGTCGGCGACATGAAACCCGGCGTACAAACAACTCGGCCACGGAGGTCGTCAAATTCTAAAAAATCGGAATAAGAATTATTTTTGTGAAAATATTAACTGCCTTCCTATTATAGTTCATGAGCTAGGCACGGACAGCGGAGATTTAGTAATAGGCTCCCGTTGTTTGGGTACGGAACTCTTAACAACATTTTACACGCTCGATAGAGAAATCTGACAATCTAGATTCTATACTGTTTCTCTAAAATCTAAGTTTGCTACAAATCTCGTTGATATATCAGTCAGTCAGTAACGGTTGCATGTATAAAAATACATACAGATTTATAATCAACTAGCTGTGCCCCGCGGTATATTAGCATTTCCCGCAGTAAAACGAAGCCCATGTGTTAATCCAGGGTGTCAACTAACTCCCGTGGCAGTGTGGCTGGGTCTGCTATCGGGCGCGTCCTCTCGGGTGGCGGATGGGAGGAACCGGCTTCGGCCGGCGTGGACCATACCCAGCTGTGGAGACCTGGCTGGCGTCCTGGGTATCCCGGGTAGCGGCAGTCGGGTCAAACTCGTAACCTTGCACATAGCGCGGGGCCGAGGGCCGCTGTCTGCAAAGAAACTGTTTCCTTTGGAGGCGGGGGCTGCGAGGAAGACAACCTCTCTAAAAAATAACCCGGTGGTGGTCTCGACTGGCGCCCTAGGTATCCCGGGTAGCGGCAGTCGAGTCAAGCTCGTAACCCTGCATATAATGCGGGGCCGAGGGCCGCCGTCTGCAAAGGAACTGTTTCCTTTGGAGGCGGGGGCTGCGAGGAAGACAACCTCTTTAAAAAATCACCCGAGGGGTCTCTCGGCCGGCGCCCTGGGTAGCCCGGGTAGCGGTGGTCGAGACTCCATAGGTTGAGGCGGAAACGCCATTGGTGAGGGCGGTTGCGGCGCGAACTCCGCGTCGCTTCCGGCCAACCCGTAACCCCGCACGTGGTGTGGGGCCGGGGGCCGTCGTCCTTCGGGGCGGGGGCTGCAAGGAAGAAAACCTTTTCAAAAATCACCTTTGAAGAAGGCCAGGTAGGGTTCCCTCGCCCGGAAGAGGGAAAATCGTTATGTAATGTCGGACAATGGGTTATATTTGTCCTGCGATCCCGTTGACACCGGGCGCCCTGGGGAAGCTCCTACCCAGGGTGTTAGATTTGTTAGCAGCGGCCTATGCGCTCCGGTTGGCCACCGGCGCCAGGGGGATTCCGGTACCCCTGGTGTTAAATTTGCTACCGAGGCGTCAGTAGGGCCTCTCAGGTTGAGAGGCGGAGGCGATGAAGAAGGGGATCGAACATCCTTCCCCGCCAAGGTTAATACGGCCCGACGGGGCAAGAAAAGAACGTCGGCGTCAACTAAGCTGATGGAGACGTACGAGGAACCGAAGCCAGGCTCCAACGTCGAGGAGGAGGCTGATCGTTGCTCATGGCCGGAGTTGGAGCACGGGGCCACGAAGTTGATAAAGGCGATGACCAATGAGATCGTTGAGGCCATGGAGGAACGAGAGCTGCAAGACTCTCTGGTCAACCGGCTATATGGCAATTGTAAGACGATGGAGACTTGGCTAAGCATAGCTTTTCACAAGGCCTATGGGGATCGGGTCTTCGCGGACAGGGCCAAACAGTACCGCGAACAGAGAGAGGAGGCGCGCGACGAAGTGGAGGAGCTCCGAAAAGAGAACGCCGCTCTGGCGAAGGCGGTGGAGGAGCTGCGCGAGGTGCGGACCCTCCAAAACAGGGTGAGCGAGGGATCGGGGTGGAAGAAGGCCATCGAGGAGTTGAAAGGCTCGCTTATATCATCTATAAGCGAGATGGTCAACACTCGGCTGGCCTCCATAGAGGGAAGGTTGCCGCCTAGGGGCCAGGCTCCAGAGCCTCCCCGGGTGGACACAAAGAGGAAGCCGGCAACCCAGCTGACTGGGGTGGTGGCCGCGGACCCACAGAAGTCCTGGAGTGTGGTGGTCCGAAAGGGAAAGAAGAGGAGGACTCCGGCACCTGCCGTCATGTCGACACTAGACACGCAACATTAGTCGGCCAAGGTGAATGAGAAAGGGCGGGGGGATCGTCAGCGCCCCCTACCAAAGCTGAAGACTCCTACCACGGCGGCCATCACGCTGAAACTAACAGCTGAGGCCGCAAAGAAGGTGAAGGAGAAGGCAAGGAGTGATATCTCCTTGCCAGATGTCGGCATAACGGGTGGCCTCACCATTAAGGCGAGTCAGACCGGGGATAAGCTGCTGCTTGTTCCTGGGCCTGACAGCGGGACGAAGGCCGATAATCTGATCCGATATAACACGCTACTGTATTGAAAACAAGCGCCGCTGCCGGGGTCATGGTTTCAATTGAGAGTTTGTGCAGTTCACCGATATGTGTATGGTCTCTACTAAACTCAAGTTTACCTGTCCAGTTAAACTGTCCAGTTAAACTATACAAGTAAACCTGTCAGGTATACCCTAGCGTGTATGGCTTGCTTAAGGTAAAATATTCATGTTTGTTAAAAATGTCGTTTAGTTAAACGTAAAATGGCAAGGCTAGCAGGCACTGGTTGTATTACGCATGGCTCACACGGTATTGTACTACACGCATTTTTGCTTTATACGTATTTTAAATGCTTTAATTATAGAACTTTGTATTTACTAGTTTTCAGATTATCTCGGATCAGATCAGATTATCGGCCTATCCGATCCGCTAGGGCTAGCGGCGCGCCTTCGAGAAGCGGCGGCGGGCCTCGCTGAGGTGGGGAGGCCAGAAAAGATGGCGGGCCTACAGGGTGACTAGTCTTGAAGACTCAGCTACGATGGCGGATGTCATAAAGGCGGTGGCAGAAGGGAGGCTGTCCTACCAATTTGGTAACAGCCTCGGAGCTGCGTCCTGGCCCAGGGGGTATGGGGCTCACAGTGGTGCGGTGCCCTATTGGCATCGCCAAGAAGGTGATGGTTGGCGGCGTGCTCAAAGTGGGCTGGTGCGCTGCAAATGTGCGACTGCTGGGCCCCCTTCCTATGCGCTGCTTCAGGTGCATGGGCAGGGGGCACACCTGCCGACAGTGCCCATCTGAGCACGACCGAAGCCAGACGTGCTTCCGGTGTGGGCAGCAGGGACACAAGGCGGCGGAATG